TTTCCCCCCCCCTTTTTTTTTTTTTTTTTTGTTCCGAAAATTATCATCTAGACCTGTGACACAATGAAGTGAGACGAGGTAGCAAACATTTCTGGGACTAAAGGAAACATACCTACAATCATTCCTACACATCATGTATGTCCAACTGCTATTCTATTTAATAGTGCCCACACCATTTTCTGAACAAATTTCAGGATCCTTTACAAGAGAAAATGAATATTTTAGCATTCATGGGTTGTTCAGAAAAATACTTAAAAATACCACTGAAAAAATGCCATAAACACATTCATAATCCCCATGGTTTGTGCATTCAAAACTTTTGCTTATCTTCTGAAGTAATATCTGAGCAAGATAAACATGGGAGCAGACATTTCATGACAAGGTTTCATTCACCTGGATGCCATTGGTATCTATTGCAATTCTATAAATTATTCATATGGAAGTTTTAATACTGAATTTCGTAGACAATACATTTGTATCATTTTCAGCTACTAAAACTGGGTTAAAGATATAAGCATTCATATGCTATGTAAACCCACAGGTCAAAGTGTAAATACATTATAAGATTTTTCCCTCTTTCTTCCCATCCATTTTGTTTTCTCCTTGGTATTCAGAGACAAATTGTTGCATAAAAATGCAGTACCTTTGGTATTTTTATGAGCTTTTTCTTCAATAGCTTAAAATACTTTCCCTGCGATTTCATTTATTTTTTTTCCCTGTGATTTCATTTCTTTTTGTTGAATGAGGAGAATCAAAAATGATGAAAGAGTAAGCATGAAGAAAATGCAAGGTGAAACAAATGAAAACCATAGCGATGTTCTGGCAATACCTAGAGGGGTTAGCCCATAACTGAGAAAGACACCTCAGATCCTCCTTCAGAAGCATTTTCTTCCTTAGTACGGGACAAATAATTCAACTTCTTGGACTCAAATTCCTCATCTAAAAATGGGTCAAAATTACAGCACCTAACACTTCTTCATAGTATTACACAAATAGAAAAATATTCTATTTACAAAATATTCACAAATAGAAAAATAAATCAAATATTTTAGCCAATTAATTGCAACTGTTTAAAACAAGACTATGTAATTACTTCAGACCTAGCTATTAGGGGTCATATATTCTTTCCTTAGCAGAAGTAAACAATGTTTCTTCCATAAACCTCTCTAAAGGCAACAGTTCGATAATGATGACACTAGTATCTCTATATGTACAACAGACAAAATGCATCAGTCATGATGATTACACCTCTTGCAGTCATTTAGTATTATAATAGGAATAAAATCCGTGAGACTAACACACTCACTGTGTCCAGTATGAAAATTAACATCTTGGTTTTTATGGAACGGGAGGCCACTATGCTAAGGTCTTGCACCTTGCCATTTAAACTGTCCTATTCCACAGAAATTTACCACTCTTAGTCTCAGTGGCATGCTATTGGTGACCTTAAGTGCATATTTATTTTTCATAAAGCCCTCTTTTTCACTTACTGAGAAATGCAACATTAACACATGTAAAAATAAATATCAAAATCATTACGTAATACACACCACATTCCCATCTGATGGAGGATTTTAGTCAGTCATAACAGAAATTATTTTAACCAACATATTTTTATTTGCATTCATGTGTGAAATGCTTGAAGTTTCACTGTGGTGAACAAACATTTCTACAATCAAAATGTAGTTCAAGCCCTATGTGGAGAATGAGTCATTATTACTGTCTACAAACATATCAAAGATGTGCAGTAGGTTTTCTTCTTCTGCAGGGCAGAAGAGCCAAGAGGACCTACAATTCTTTTATTTTTGTGTTAGAATGAAAAATAGCTGTTTGAAATCCAATAAAACCCATCACGCTACTTCAATTCCATAAACATTCTTTCACCAGAAGTTTAAATTAATCCATACCAGATTAGGAATCACTCACACCAGCTCAGAACTGAGCTAAACATTTTTAAATAGCAAAACAGTCATGCTGAATGGTAACTTGTCTACCAAGTAAAAACTCCTCAGGAATTGTCCAAAGGCAAAAGTAAAAAAAGAAAATAAATAAATTTAGAAGTGCTCTCTAACATTGAGGCCAGAGTTACTTTGCAATAGATATGAAAACACTTTCTGAAAATAGATGCAAATGTCCTTGGTGGTGAGGTGAGTTAGAACAGAGTGGAAGATGTCTCAGCATCAAGAAATTATTTTACTCATTCGGTTTGCATTTGTTTGGTCTTTTTAAAGACTGTAAGAGAATAGTAGTAAAAGTCTTAGGGCTACTAAAACTGAATTAACTGTGTATACATAAAGAAAAAAAAAAGAAAAGAAAAAAGCTTGGTCCCTACCATCTCCAACAAACTGAAGGAGGGCTAGATCAATTTGTCTCTTCCAAGGTGATCCTTTCTGAAGTGCTATTCCATAGCCCGTAGTGGCAAAGATGTATCCACTCCCTATTGTGACAAGTTTGCAGCCTTCATCTCTTCCAGCCTTGTAGTTCAGCACTGCTGCATCATAGATGAAAGCATCCAACTTCCTGAAATAAAAGAAAACATTTTACAAACCAAATCATTAGGGACAGCTGTTGTCAGACTTCTTTTGTCCTTGATGTTAGGACCCTGTTGAATATCACATGGATTCTTTGATATCATTAATTACATATCCTGCTCTGTTGTATCTAAAATTAACAAAAGGCATCTATTTTAGTGAGGGGAAAGTAGGACACATAGTTTTGCATTTCTATTTTAAGGGATGCTCTTAAAAAATACTGAGTAGGAGAAACCAAGCTACAAAATGTCTTGCCCTGTTATCGTTGTATCTTTGCTCTCAAAATGGGTAACAAATATCTTGAGATGTAAAATGATCTCCAAAACCAAAGAAATGACAATAGAGAATTTAGAATTGAAACAACAATAACCAATGAGCTTATTTAAAGCATTTGAATGAGACTGAAAACATGACTTCACCAGTTTTCCACACAGTTTTCTTCTTTTATGTCTCTTTCCGAAAATAAACAATGAAGGTGGAGGTTAAGCCCTTGCTAAGACAGGGGAAGGTATTGGAGCATAACTGATATAGCTATCTAAATCCTGCTTAAAAATTATAGAAAATATTTCTTTATGATTTGCAGTTCCAAACATATTATTTTTATATCTGGAG